ATATGAAGTCCCTCAAAATACTTTTGATTAGCATCATAGAAGAAAAGAGAACGGTCAGTTGGGTTAAAACGGAGAATTTTAATAGATATTATAGTTAACAGAGTGAAGCAGAGTATATATATTGATGCTATAGAGTGAGTAAAAGATGGTTCAATGCCAGTCATACTCCAGAAACGAGCCATGCAGCGATGAAGTGGTCTAGTAACCAATACTACACACTTGTAACCTTTATCATACAATGTTATCCAAACATAGAGTAAGAGGAGAAGGAGCAATGGATAGAATCCTACCACATACCAAAAGGAGATTGCTCCTAATGGTGACATGTGAGGAGCAATGCATAATGGATAGTTACCAAGAAATGGTGTAAAGTCTAAGTTGAAGAAAGTGTTTGGTAGAAACCAGTAACTTGGAACATCAGTGGTAACCTCTGGATAGACAATGGATACCATTTGAGAGTAAAATACTATTCCATTTATTAAACCATTTGTGAGCTTTATATTTAATATGATTATTAGTATGACCATTATCGTGACTAATAAGATTTCAATTAGAAAAAATACTGGGCCTAATGGATAATCTTCACACTGGACACACTCACCAATCATATTAATAGGCACTGAATCATTTGATTGGCAAAATAGAACTATAAGATTAGTTTCATTGTCAAAACAACAATCATTACAGGTGTAGTTGAAAGGCTCACAAAGCGAAAAGCAGGCAATACCAGGTTTATATGCTTTTTGCTCACAATAGGGATAGCATTTCCAATTGCATACACCTGTAACATTAGCTGTTAAATTAATACTAGCATTAATTGGGCCCAATGTTCCAATGTAGACCTCCTTTTCCATGGTAACATTAATTATTTCCTCATTAAAACACAAGGAAGACAGTGAATATACGGAATTGTTATTAATTGCAATAGAGCAAGTATCATCAGTACAGACGTACAGATCATTCTTCCAATCATACACATCATTGTTAGCTTCATCAATAACAGAAACTGTAAACTTAAGACTCTCACACTTACAGCCATCACTTGACAGTGCCTGGTGAGAACTACAACTCAGAGGTAGATTTGTGAATGACACATTCAATTCAAAACGATACGAGTACATATCCTGTGATATGGGACAATCATTTGGTTCAGTACATGTAACAGGAATGTTGTTACAATTATAAAGACTAACATATTGAAATGCAATATGCCTCAACCAGTTATATGAAGAAGAGGAAACATGAAGACACGTGATACTAACCTCTTCATATCCACTACCATCCCTCATACCAATAATACTCACATTATTCCTCAGTAGCTGTTGCTCTAGTAGACTAGTAGTGTCTAGTGTATATGTACCAGGAGACAGGTTGATAAGGATACCTGATGAACAGTTGTATTGTAGAGTAGCTGCTCCTTGTATAGCTAGATCAAGAGTAGCACAAGGTATTTGAACTCCTCCAGTCCAACAAGAGGTATTGTTGGTACCATCAGATAAACTGACATAGATCCTACACTCCAAACTAGCAGCAGATAAAACAAGAGAAAGAAGAAAGAAGAGTAATACTTTAACTGGGAACATTGTAGAAGTAAGTCACAAATATGGTATAAACAATTCACAGTTTTGATTAAAATTATAGGCAAGACTGGTCAGCAGTAGAATGCTTATCACATGATTTCAACACAATAACATCATACCTTAGTACAAGAAGAATAAAAAGGACGTCATGTATAGATCTACGAGTCATAATTATTTTTTGAATTTTAAGTGTAAAATTTTTAAAATAATAAGATCACACAATGCTTGGTAACAAATACCGTAATACACAGAGGATCAATCAAAAAAATTAAAATAATGCTATTTAACTATTTTTTGCCTAATTGATTATTAATAAACCAACAAATAAAATATATGAATCTAAATCATCTGTATTTAGTTACAAACAGAGCACAAAAAATTTTTCCACTTTACACTACTGGTATGGATACTGTTATACGCTACCATAGGTAACAGTTGTGCTAATAGTAATCGGTTGGTTAGGTTCATCAATAGGTTTATCAGTAGCCTTTGTAAGATCATCCAGTCTAACAGAAACATGTCGTTCATCATATTCTTGTGGATTCTCCATGCGATCAGCAATCCAATTTTCATCAACAACTAATGGATCATCATCATCTTCCTCTTGGTTGTCAGTATCAACTCGCAAAGTATCCTTACGACGTTTGTAGTGGCGGAAAATTTTTTTGCAGAGCATTGACATTATGTATATTGGTAAAATTATTCCAAATATCAGACCACTAAAAAATACTGATAAAAGCGACAACCAGAATGACTTATAAATTAGAACCAAAATATAAGTGAAGATCATTATAAAATACAAGAATAGTACTTCAAAAAAACTATGTATGTTTCTTTGGAAAGGTCGAAATATCATAATCATTATTGCCAATATACTAGATGCAACGATGGCTGCAGATGGTCCAAAGTAATGACATGAATATGGTGCTGGTAGAACTATCAGGAGAAGAGCCAAGGTAATTATTCTTACTAACAGATATAGTCCAGCAAAGAAACGATAATCATACGTGCCATCAGTTCCATTCTTATAAGGACCAGTAAACACATCACCCAGTGATATCAGTAGCTGTTTCCTCAAATGTAACCAATCCAATAACTTATGAAACCATTTGAATGGATAAAGGAGTATATAAAGTGTAGGAAGGAGTATAAAAACCAATAAAACTAAAATGGAAAATAAAGCTGCTGCTATATGAAGTCCCTCAAAATACTTTTGATTAGCATCATAGAAGAAAAGAGAACGGTCAGTTGGGTTAAAACGGAGAATTTTAATAGATATTATAGTTAACAGAGTGAAGCAGAGTATATATATTGATGCTATAGAGTGAGTAAAAGATGGTTCAATGCCAGTCATACTCCAGAAACGAGCCATGCAACGATGAAATGGTCTAGTAACCAATACTACACACTTGTAACCTTTATCATACAATGTTATCCAAACATAGAGTAAGAGGAGAAGGAGCAATGGATAGAATCCTACCACATACCAAAAGGAGATTGCTCCTAATGGTGACATGTGAGGAGCAATGCATAATGGATAGTTACCAAGAAATGGTGTAAAGTCTAAGTTGAAGAA